TTAATGTGTAAACTATGCAAGAATTTGATATCTTATATCCATACACTTACACTGTAAGACTTAACCATTAATTTCACTTACACATTAATTTTAATATATTATATTGTCTTTAAAATAATTTAGATTAATAAACAAGTAAAATTTTATAATTAAATCATTTACTTAAAATCACATAAAGTTATTCTTACTATTTCAAAATTAAAATAACATATAATATAAACAAAAATATGTTTATAACATAAAGTGATGTTGCATCCACTATCATTTGCATAACCTATTAATAGGTTGCATGGTGGTTTTCATGCTGTAGAGGAGGTGGGGGCAGTGTAGATGGGGAATTGGATTTTTGCTGATGAACAGCTTATCTTACGGTGGATATGTAATTGCTCCTTAAGGGAACTTTCAACATGGTCCATGCTAGGGACTCAGATCGCCTGTAGTTCTAGCAGGAGCTGCAGGCTGCAGTTTTGGATTCGCTTAAGCGAATTTTAGTAAAAAATGATTTTAGCTTAAGTTAAAAAAAATTACTTAAACGAAAGTAAAAATATACTGCAACATCTTTTTCTTCCTACATATTTTTGCTTAAGCGAATATGTTTCTTTCTCTCCATAATTCGGTTCCCTCTACTATCCTCTCCTTCTAATCCAACTACCTTCTTCCTCCCTCCTTCTCACTCAGTCTATTTCTTTCCTCCCCTTCCTCATCTCTTCTTTTTTCGGCCCACCCAATCTCCTTCCCTCTTCTCATCTAGCTCTCCTCCCCTTTCTCTCCCTTTCACCCCACCCATCCCCCTCTCCCTCCCCTTCTCTCCTCATCTAATCCTTTTTCCTTTCTTCTATTAGCTTTCTCTCGTTCTCCCTCTCCTTGGTGCTCTTGCCCCATCTCTGGTCTCCCTCCCAGCCTCCCTTTCTCTCTTCTTCTTCTGATTTTTTTGCTACTCTTTCTAAATTTGCTTAAATAAATTTTTTTGATTTAAACAAAATTGACTTAAGTGAATTTTTTTTATATTAAAATAAAATTATTTTTTTACCAAAATTCAATTAAGGAAAAAAATTCCGCTTAAAGCGAATCTAAAACTGCAAATAATCCAGATCCCATGCTAGATAAAACCTCGCTCGTAATAGCGAAGAGCGAATCCCAAAAAGCAAAAATAGAAATTGATTTGTGAGCATGTTAAATCAGCTTCCTGTGTTTAAGCAAAAGTGAAAATCCAACAAAGGATTGCAATCTTGAATGACATGACATCTCGGTAATTCTACTAGACAGTTATTACAAGCATAGGAAAAATCATTGTTCAATTGACAAACAATTACTATATTAATGAGGTATGCCTGTAATATTGTCTTTTCATATGAAAGTAGCATTGAAGGGTTTTTCAATATCATGTATAAGAACATGATGATTAAAATAAAAAAAAACAATATTTTATTAAAAATATAATATCTAATGTTTATTAATTTATTATATGCTATACTTTTTTAATAAAAAATATTTATTAATTTCTAAGAATAATAGTTGACAAAATTAAAATACTTCTCTAAGAGAGATTCTTCATAAACAAATTTTTATTGCAGAAATGAAAATTAACTTTTACCTAAAGTTATTATCTCAACGTGCTTATTATTTACTATCAATTATATTTTTACTTCAATAAAATAGAGTTCTTTGTCAAATACGTTTCATGGTACCTGTAATAAAAATAGCAATGCAAATCTGTTTTCGGTAATTTGTCTCCTCAAGGGAATTTTTATAAGGAATTTATTAACGTTCGTTTACCTTTTTTTTTAAAACTAATAATTTATATTTTAAATGTATTTTAAGTTATAATTTGTTATATATATATTTTTTAAAAAAAGTAAATATATGTTAGTGATTTTAAGTGTCAATATACACTTATTTATTTTTAAGTTACAATATGTCACTACATTATACCTTTAAGTGTGCATTAAGAAAGTCATAATTATAAAAGTTAACTAAAACACTCTTTTCCAGAAAAAGTAGTGAATATTAGCAAATTTCTCTGTATAAATATATACTAAAGCTAATTATAATATAATTTATTGAATATATTTTTACTATAAGGTTGTCATGTAATCAAATTTAATAAATTTATACATAAAAATTGAAATCAAAATTATAAAACTAAAAGTTTCTTTTGAAAATTGAGTCAATTTAATTAATATGTTTACTACAAAATGATTTAAAACTATTTTTCAACAGCTTCATATACAAAAATTCTAGTAATGAATATCAATCTGAAAAAGGAAAGAACCCTTACCTAGTAACATGATAAAGAGAAATCTAATTTATTATACAGTTTCAACTTATTTCTTCAATATCCTTATAAAAAAAAATATTTCTTCAATATCCTTCTACTAATTATCTTATTCATTGCATAAATAGATCAGAAAAATGTTCATAGGTATCCTAAGATATTTAACTTTTAAATGAAAAATTATATTCATAAATAGAGAATAAAAGTTTAATATTAATTTCAAATAATTAATCTCATGTTTAAATTATAAAAATAAGTTGTTGTTTTACTTGGAGTTAAAATGGTTATATAAAGTTATATTAAAATTTAAATCATAAAATAAATATTAGCGTAATAAAAAAGGACATTAAAATTTTATATAAAAGAATATTTAATATTAGAATAATGTAAATAAACATTTCCATGATAGCAAAACTAAAAACATACATAAATGTAAACGAGTATTTAAGTTATATAAATGAATGTTTATACTATATAAGTTATATTGATTTTAAAATGATAAACTATAAATGTTTTATATTATATAAAAGTTACATTTATACTTTTTTCTCTTACTATAAATTAATTATTAAAAAAATAAATTATAAACCGTGCTGAGTGCATGGGGTAAAATACACCAGTATGTATATATTCTTTTAGTAATATTTATTGTAGAATTATTTTTTGATAATATTTAAATAATTGTATATAAACAAGATAAAAATTAAATATACACGATATGAAACACATATATAAAAAGAATTAAATAAAAATATATTATAATTAAATATTTTTTATTAAAATATGTCACGTGACATTTTTAATATATATTTAAAAGTGATGCATGATATATTTTCTCATTTATCTTTTTAAAAAAATTATTTTAACATATTAATTTATTTATTTGTATTAACTTTTTAATTTAGAAAAATTATTCTTTTTGTCCCTTAACATATTAATATATTAATATATTTTCATGTTCTTTCCTGTTAAAGATTCTAACTACGTTAAAAAGTTTTAAATGATTTGGGATGTGAGATGAGTGCTTGATGTTAGTGGCAAGAAGATGAAATTTTGAGTATAAGAAGATGAAGATGAAAGGGAAAAGAAAGAAAAAAAGATACTCGAAATAAGATTAAAGAAGACAATAAACAGTAACATATAGTACTCTTTACATACAATGACAAATTTTTTTAATGGAGTAAGAGTTTTTAATAGAAAATGATCTATCTAAAACTTTTTAAAGAGTTAAAGAATTAAAATGAACTAAAAAGAAGTTAGAGAATAAAAACGAATTTTATTCTAAAGTTTAGAAATGAAAATAATAATTTTGTTTTTAATTTATTTTTCAAATTTTTATAATTTTCATAATTAAATATATAAATTAAAATTTTTAAGATTAAATAAATAGATTAATATTTATTCCTTTAATTAAAATTAATTTTTTAATAAATATATACTCAACGTGAATAGAAAAATATTTAATAATATTATAAATACAATATAAATTATCAATAATATATATATATATATATATATATGTATTTCATTAAATGTATGATACGACATTTTTAATTTTAATTTTAATTTTAATTTTTAAATTAATTATTTTATTTATGCATTTATAATTTTTCTATTATTACATATAAAATAATTTTTAAATGTTAAATTTATATGGAGTTTATTTCTAAATATTATATAAATGATTTAATTTTTTAAATAAATTTTAATGTTTTCATTAATTATATATTTTATATGAATAAACATATTTAGTATTAGAAATAATATAAATAACTAAAAATTTAGAAGAAATATATTAAATATTTTATAAATTCACATGTCATATGAGTACATATATTTTAAATTTAAATATATGTAATATTAATTTAAATGCTCATAATTTGACGTCAAAATTTTAAAAAAAAAACTATACTAGACCTGTTTGTTTCACCTTTTAAAAAAATGATTTTTAAGATATATAAAAAATGGTTGACTTTTAGATTTTTTTTATTATAAAATTTAGGGGTTATTTATTTATTTATTATTATTATAAAAAATATTTTAGAGGATAATTATAATTTCAATTATTTTTCTAGAGGCTATTTAAAACAGCTTATTTACAAAAGGGAAGAAAAAGAAGCTAAAATTATATTATTTTTAACTTCTGAATTTTCATAAATTTAACTAAACAAGCTAACAAACTAAAAGATGATTTTTTTTTTTTAAAAGTGCTTTTCTTATATATATTAAAAAACAAATGGACTCTAAATTATTCCTTTTTGTCACATAAATTTAAGTGAAGTTGTAATTTGAATATTAATTATTTTTTATTTAATTTAATTTTTTAAATTCCCTTTTTATGGTAAAGTTTTTTCTTACTAATTTTGTTTCTTTTTTATTGATTTAGAGAATGTTTTGTATTTTAAGTGTATATGAATTTTAACTATAACAATTATAAATGTATGATATTTAATCAATGATGATGGTTGACATAATTGTTAAATATTTTTAATAAAAAATAAAAATAAGTAGTTGATTAGAATTATTTTGTGAATAATTAAAAATTTAATGGTAATTTAATAATAAAATTAATAAAAATGTATGAAATAACAGAAAAATTATTATCCAAAATGTTGTTATTTTAATAATTTTGATTAAATAAAAAATAAAAAAAAGAATTATTTTATCTTAAAAAAAATAATTTACACTACAAATAACAAATCTTTGGACAATGTTTACAAGTTACCTGGTACGACAGGAAGTATAGTCCCCAAGAATACGCAGTGTTAGCTTATAAACACCTCCACTTTGGCAATTTCTCGCTACTCACAGAGTGCAACGATCAACTCTCAGAATTAGAATGCCGAAATGCATATCCTTCTTCAGATCATCCACCTCAATGCCAAACTCCTCTCAAGGTAACTCAACAAAACGCAACCATTTATTTTATTTTATTTTATTTTATTTTAAAATAAAAACAATCACTCTTTCTATCAAAACGCTGCGTTTCTGATTGCATTAACATCTCACAGAGGACACACCCAGCGTTTCTCGCGAATACAACCTCGCCGTTCACACCAACTCCTACGCCGAGATTCGCTCCAATATCCAATCTCAACTTCACACGCTTAACCCAGACCGAGACCGCGTCCAACACGCGCTATCAGACACCACAACCACCACGCGCCTCATCTCCACCTTCTTCGACCACACGGAAACCGCCTCCGAACTCTGCCTCCACCTCCACCAATGTCTCAGCCTCGCGCGTGCCGCCCACGCCCCTCTCCTTGACCTCTTCGAAACAATCGACCCTCTTCACCCAACACACAGCGATTGCAAGCGCGCCATTCCTCTCTTTCACCACTTCGACAAACAAAACAACTCCATCCCCGATTCCCACATCTTCTCGAACCTTCGCGAAGCCTTATCCAACCTCAAAACGCAGCTCGATCGCCGCGTTTCGAAGTCCCTATCTAGGGTACGCTTTTTCCGTCGCGCCGCCGCCGGCTCGGCCATCTGCCTGGTCGCCGTCGCCGTCGGGGTGGTGGTGGCGACCGTGGCAGTGACCCTGCACGCTGTGGTCGCCTTGGCGACTGCGGCATCGGCTGGCGCTGTGCCTGTTTGTGCATCTGAGAGAAGAGAATTAGTGAGGTTGAAACAGCTTGATGCTGCTGCAAAATGTTCTTATGTTCTGAGCAATGATCTTGGCACAATTGATGCACTCGTTTCGCGGCTTCGCGCCGCGGTTGAAGGAGATAGGGTTTTGGTTCGGCTTAGCTTGGAGAGGGGGAATGAGAGGTACCTTGTGCAAGAAGTGATTAAGCAACTTTGCAAGAGCCATGATGGTTTTATACGCCAGGTTGAGGATCTGGAAGAGCACATATACCTCTGCTTTTATAACATCAACAAGGCAAGATTCTTGCTCTTTCAAGAGATATGCAATAGTTCAACTTTGTAGTTCTTGTTCCTAACCAACTAATCAATGTTTTAGTTTTAGATTAATATTTTGTTGACACCCCTTTTTGGGGTGTGGAATGGATGGGAGAAGAAAGAAATGTTAAAAAAAAAACAAAAGATGTGATAGATAAGTTGACACAAAAGGAAGAGATAGATTGAAAGAAGAGGAGGATGTAAAATTGATGTATGGTAAATTAGGTTTGAAATATAAGGGTCTGTTTGGATTCAGGAATGTTTTCTATTTATATTATGTTTCCGGTTTTTAAAAATTTGTAATTAAAAAACAAATCTTAAAAAACAGGGAATAGAATGAAAATAAGTGGCAGTCTTGTAATAAAAGTGAAACAGAAAGTAAAGACAGAAAAGTTTCCACAAACCAAACGGGCCCCAAGTATTCTTAGTTTTAAATTGTGATTGTGGTTGCAATATCAGTCTGCTTGGTTTTAAATAGAAGTCTAGGGCCGCATTTATTTGTAATTTCTCACAATATTAAGGCTTTTGAGGCCTTCAAAACTGTTGTTTAAAACCTTGGTGATTGGCATTCACAACATGATGTGAATGTGGCACAAGTAATCTGGATTTAATGTGGGCAAAAAAGGGTGCAGACAGTGCAGTTAAATGTAGACAGTGATTAGGGGTCGATGTCTGAGAAAGAAATTCTGGTTCTGTTCTTCGATCTAACGATAACATTAATTGTATAATATCTGAAACATTAATACTGTGGCTGCAATTACAGTTGCTGATCGCAGTTTAAAACCTTGATAGATTTTGACCCAAATTGTTGTTGTACAGCTAAAAATTCATGTGCCTTCTATGCTTAGTTCAAGTTGTTAGGGTTACGGTTTCATGTTAATAAGGGTCACCTTATCCAATACTGTTTTGGTTGAACTATGCTTCAGGTAACCCCGAGGTTCAGATTTATTATTTGTGTGACCAAATAGTAGGAATTTAAGTTATTGAAATGTCATCTTCAAAGGTCTAATATATTTTAAAATAGACAAATGGATTTTATGTTTAAAAGTAGTCCCATTTTGTCCAAATACTTTTGAGACTATCTTCAAATATTGTTGATAAATGCGATTCTTGAGATCTTGGAATGGTTGTTCATTCGGGTTGCTAAGTATAAGGAAGGCGACCAGTGTTGGTATATATTCGTGTAGCTGTTGTAGCAACCATGTGACCTAAGCATGAACGGGTGCAGAATTTAAATATTGGTAGTAGTAAGTTAAATTAGCATAAAATTATGGGAACTAGTCAATTTGGTCTCTGGAATTACAAAAAATGTTACTTTATTCTTTAGAATTTGTATATGATTATAAAATGGAATAATTTTTGTCCTTAAAATTATAATAATAAGTACTAAGATGATATATTTGAAAATTTTAAGGACTAAAACGATACTTTTATAATTTTAGGAATTAAATTAACTGATTTTTTATTACTCAATATTCGTTAAACTGATTCAACATCTGATGCGACCATTAGGGATTTAAGGAAAATCCACTATCCCCACTCATAATGTCAATAAATTAACTGATGAAATAATGAATTTGCCCAAGCATTTTAAATAAGTGTGCTTTTTAAAGGTTTTATGAACACTGCAAAGATTTTGAAAAAAGAAAAGAATAAAGAATAAGACAGTGGCACGTATGAAATTACGAGGATAAAATTATGAGACATAAATATTGACATATATTCCAAAACACCATCAAGGAGAAATGTTTCCTTGTTTTGCCTTAAGAATAAGCTCTTCAGTGGTGGTGCCAATTATCTCGTTAGCCCGTTTCAGCCCAACACATTGATACCGACCAATGACATCCTGAATTTCAAGCACATGTCATAGGTAACAACAATTGAAAATAATTTCCTACAAGTTGTATCAGCATATTTCCTGAATATACGACCTTAAAGCAACAAACAAGATTTCATAAGTTCTAATTGTCATTTAACATGCAAATGTACTAAGATCTATAAAGTGGACATGACTAATGCATCAGAGAGTAAATGCAGTCACATCCAATGGGCGAAAAATCACGGCTTCAAAATCAACATTGTTTCACCGACTGCTTCAGAATCAGATCTACCGAACTTGGTTACAACAAAGGATATTAAACAAGTCATAGACGTGATGAAATATTATACTATTAAGTGAAAGATTTTCTAAAAAATAAAAGAACATAAACTAATTTTAAATTGACAGTGCTTAATTTTTGTCTCCTAAAAATTCTTATTGAAAAATTAATTCAAATTGGGCTATAATCACTTTAGAAGGAATCTTACCTTAGTGACAATTCCCAACTTCTCTAATTTCTGAACCGCATCATCCACGTCAAAATTGCAGCTCCCCCCAAACTCTTCTCTGATTAGGTCTTCACACCATCGATCCAGATCCTGATTAACATTACTATATAGCTTATATGAATAGCAATGAGAAAACTACAAACATTGCAAATTATAAAGAGAACAAGATTGCTCAGTTGATATTGACGTTCATACCTGTCTTGTAGCTTTTCCCTGTTCCATCAAAATATAAAATGATATTATTACCTCTTTGACCTGCACATTAAGAATTTAAAGGTTATATGAACATCCTCACTAGTACAGTAATCACTACATATAAAGCAATGCATAAGAAATTTGCTTATCCATGCTTTTCAAAAACATTTTGGCACATATTCCAATACTAAGTATTATATAAATTTACAAAGTTTTCAGTTACTATTACAGGCATATTAGGGAGCATTTGAGAAGTAAAACAACCAACATACGGTTATGCTAACGAGTCAAAGATTGCTGTCAACCAAAGCCAGTGAACCACGTGTGAATTACTGATTGTTGGGTGAATTTCTCAGAAAAGCCACCCATCACATTGAAAGCATATTTCATATAAATCAAGCTTACAAAATTTTACAGCAATCCAATATTTTTTGGTACTCCATCCTGATGTTAAAACTCCTATTATGCTTTTCAAATAAAAAATAATAAACAAGTTAACAGAACACATCAAGCTAGAACTTACTTCCTGCTGAATGACATCATCACATAAATGGAGAAGTGTACCCTTTCCACTGTCCAGTTGTTTCTCATACATTGACTGAGTGATCAAGTTTTGGTATGCAACCAAGTTTTGTTGGAACCTATGGGTGGTTAAAGATTGGTAGGCACATTGGTTAAATAGATTCATCAAACGCAATGACTTGTATACACCACAAACTTGTGAATGTTTGACCATAACTTTTTTAAAAATAAAATAAAAACATGTTGAATTTGGCAATTTATAAACTGTCAGCAATCAACCACAGATAGGAATGTTTACATTAGGAGAAAGAAATAAGGATAGGTCCAAAGTGCCAAGTGAGCGAGCCTATATTAATCAGAACTTGTTAGTTAAAGATGTTAGAGAAGTTGTTAGTTAACTCTCCAACAGCAGTGACAAGGTAGGATATCTCACATTCAATGTATAAAAAATATCAGATAATAATCAGGGATATGAACATTTTATCTGTAAATTAGGGATTTAATTAATTACTATTAATCCTGTTGTACCTCATTGCATTACTATAAATACAGCTCATTTGTCATCATATGACACACAACATTCAGAAATCTCTTCTCTTATATGGTACCCATGATGGTGAATAGTACCCACGACCTCTGTTAGCCACTTTTTGCCTACCACCACACCTCCTTTTCCCAGTGTGCCTCTGCAACCAGCATTGCCACCCTCAGGTATCGTGGCCTCTCTCTTACGCATGTATCTCCCGTGCCTGTACCAGATCTACGCGCATGAGCACTTTTCCGGCCAGGCCCATTTGTTGGCGACATCTTTCTGAGTCTTCTCCCTTCTATGGTGAGCCTGTCCATCCTTTTACCAACTTGTTTTTCTCATGGTCTTTAACGATTCACCATCTGACTCTGGTATTGGTAATCTTGTTGCTGCAGTTGCTCAATCTGGTAATCCTTTAGCATTTGTTTCTTAGTCTTCCTCTCTTGGATCCTTGACTCTAGTGCATCTGACCATTTGACTGTAACAAATCCCTTTTCACTCATCTATCTTACTCAGATTCTTTGCCTTTTGTTATCTTGGCTGATGGTTCTCAAATAAAAGTTCTAGGCATTGGTCAAACTCAACCTCTTCCTAATCTTTCTTTATATTCTATACTCTATGTTCCTGGTCGTCCTTTTAACATAATATCCATTAGCAAGTTCACTGGTACCGTTAGTTGCTATGTTTGTTTTTGTTAGCAACTCTATTCTTGTCCAAGATCGACATACCAAATGGATGATTGGAGCAGGACCTGAGTCTTAAGGATTATATCAATTATCACTGCCGGTTGCTTGTGTCTCTGCTGCTACTCCACCTACACTTAAGCATCAACACTTCAGTCACCTTAGTCTTAATAAAATGAATCTTATGGTTCCGCATCTTTTAAACCTTCAAACTTTTAACTTTGTTATGTCAACTAGGAAAGCATACCTGACATACTTTTAATGATCTAGTCAATAAAAGTGCTCTATCATCTTTTGCATTATCAAGTAACTGCTTCATTTACATTCTCTTTTTATGTTTATATCTTAGCTCCAGTATTGCAGTTAGAGAGCTAACTAGCTAAACAATTACAACTTCTCTAATAATAGCTTTAACAAACTAGGCCTAAGTAATTGAGGCTGGCCAACTTGATTCCTTTGGCCTATCCTTATTTCTCCTAATGGAATAAGCATTCCTTATTCGGATTGGTTCCTAACATCTTGCGAACATGATTCTATTTTCAACATTACAAAAGGACTAGTTCAACCAATAATCTGTTTCAAAAAAACCTGTTGTGTCTTATTTTTCACTATTAATCACTATCTTTGAATGTTCAATATACAGAGGATCAAGCTTTGGAGTTACTGCAGATAAAATTTTCAAAGTTTAAAATGGAAACAGTTGACATGCTTACGTGAAATATGTCTTAACACAATAACCAAGTACTGTGGAAAGAACAGCAACAATCACCGTCAAATCAGTTGAGGCCATTTCAAGGGAGCTAACTACAGCAACCTGTGAAGAAAAACACATTAAATACATCAGTACATAATGGTAAAGAATAAGAACACTACATTGTGGTAGAGAAACTCCATTTGTGTTGAAAAACTAACCAGCCCGACTATAGCAGATCCTAGAAACTTGACCCAATCCATTGGAGTCAATCCAGGATTTTTCTTTTCTGGCTGTCAAGTAAAAAGTTTCGATCAGGTCAACACTTATATGGTAATTAGGGGAAAAGGGTAATTAGGTATTAACTCAGCCATTGGAATGTTGTTGATATGTTTCACAAAGGAGGAAACTCACAAGAACTATTTCCATATCAGCCATTGGAATGTTTTTGAAATGCTTCACAAAAATTCCTCGTTCTGATTTTGATTTGGAACTCACTGGCCTGATGAAACAGTTTCCAATTTAGGCTTTAAATAGAATAATATTCATATTTTTCCTTTTGCACAACAGATTTATGAATTCCAAGCATTATTTACATGACCCCTCTGAAGATAACTCAGATTACTCATTTTTTACACAGACTGATATGATCAATGTGATGAATAGAGAAACTATGATTTTGGTTTTGAATGGGAAAAGGAACATATGCTAAACTAAAGAGATATAAGAGAGTACTACCTGTACACAACAATTATCCTATCAAACGTGAGTTCTTGGATTGTGTTCTTGTTCAGCAAATTAGAAAAACTGTAAAGTGCAGCAAACAATTTCATGAGTGACAAGATAATAAAATATTCAAGATTTATACAGTTTAGATGCATGAGTTTGGCAGTAAGAAAACAGCCTGCATTTCTCAGACAATATGAACAATTGGATTACTATAGGGAACTTTGAGCCTTAAGAATTATTTTCTGAAAATCTATGAAAAATATAAATTCAAACTTCCTACAGGAGGATGACTAGCTTGTAAATGTTCATTAATAAAATTTCCCAAGGCTACTGTTACTGTGTTGATTCCAGAGCAATTAACTTTCATGTCATTTTAAGCAAATACCGATAATTTGAATCTTTGATTAAATGAAACTGCTAACATTCAGTATTTATATTGATAAATCTAAATTTTAAATAGGAAGCATAAGAGGATGTGAATGGTCAATGCAAAAATGTTATCTGAGTCAACAGGAGATTCAATGATAAGCCTATATTATCTGCAAAAATGTTATATAAATGAACTATAGAAAGTTCTGATTTAGACAGAAAATAACATAACAAGAGCAGTAGCTGGAGGTACAACAAGGACAACACAGGAACAAACACACTCAGATCCAACAAGACCTCAATGGCAAATTTTCAAGGCGTATTCGTTTATATGCATCATCCTGATAATCTTCTGAGTCAGTTTCATCGTTCTTCTTTGGGTCCTTCCTACAATGCAATTTTGACCGTCTGGATAGAAACTTTTCCAACCTGCAAGCAACATGTGTTAAATATTCAAATAATTATGGAAATCATGACTCATCATCATTATAAAATATTCATTAGCATCAGATAATAATACAAATTAAATTCCTAGTGTGAGAGATCCTTACCTAGTTATTCTTAATAGATATGCCCAAAAACGTGCTATGAGCATGTCCACTTTCTCCATGATAAAGAAATCAGTTGTTTGATCAATTCCAATGCCACGCCGAAAGATAATATACTAAAATAACAGGATGTATTAAATTGCTATTTCACAAACAGATTAAGACCAAGTAACAAAACAATAGTTTTTGTTGAGCAGGTTCATCCTTCTTGGTTTGGTGTAGTAAACTTTTCTGATTTAACAAAATAAAAATGCATCAGTCTCTAGAGTGTCTGCTCGAGTGCATGTTTGGGTACAATAGTGTGTGTTGTGTGAGTAAGTGAGTGAGTGAGAGAGATGGTGGAGATGACCTTTTAGTGTACCAGTTCAACAAGAAAGAGTCTTTCTGCGCAAAACTTCAATCTTTCTTGAAAAACAATCATCTTTTACTACTAGTCTATCAACTAGTATCAAAGCTCTTTTTTCTGGAAGCTGTTGGAAAAACAGGCACCAGAAAGAAATATCAGGTTGCATTTCCAGCCTTCGTTGTCAGTGAAAGGGAAGGCCTTTTCATGGCAGCAGACACTAAACACTCAACAGATTGCAAGAATAGGTTCTTGTTGGAGACATTGGGACAACTTCCAAACCCAAGATCCCTCAAAACAACAGAATACAAGAGTAGTTGGAGGCAAGGCAATTAGGTAACAAGTAATAGCAAGAGTAGGGGACTCATTACCAAGGGTGAACCCAATGCAATGGTTGCTACAGAATAAGGAGATAGAAGGAGAATTCACTTGTGATGAAAAATTTAGTAGAGAACATGTGTGTAAGAATAAACAGTGTTGAGCGATGATTCTAGAAGATGTGAAAAATAATGCAGAACAAGTAATGCATGAGTTAACTGGGTAGTCGAACAAGTGAGAAGCTATTTAAATGAAATAACGTTTGTCGTTAATTTGTGTATATGTCTAATTTCTTTTGGGTATAAGTAAAGTAAAAACAATTGACAAATTTTTAAAAGAGAATATTTAAATGATCAAAGTGATTCTTCTACACGTGAGTCATCCAATCTCAATACTTCACCTCAAGAATAAGAGCAATGTGAGACAAAATGCCAAAAATTAGGATTTTGGATTGCAGCTAGTGATTTGAGAGTATGAAATTCATCATGCTTGTATCAAGCGTGGGCTATGATGTCAAATGATGATCATCCTCGTCATTTCAAGCTTCTACATCACACCTAACAACCACATTTTGTTTTTTACTCTATCAAAAAATCATATTACCACCAATAAGGATGCAATAACTAGATGCAGGTCTGCTATGAGATCTTTCTCAATTTGATTTTTTGAATACCCCACAATTTGAGCATGTCATTTGTTTTATACAAGAGACCTTTTCCTAAGTTCTATAATACCACCTTCGAACTTATTTATAAGAAACAAGCAACTAATTCATTAAGACCAATAAAAATAGTTACATACTATAAATAACCAATCTTCTATGTTTTTCTATATTTGAAAATTATTCATCATGACTCAACAAAAGTTTAGTATTGGGTCCATAAGAGAGATGGGGAGAGAAAGTGATTGAACTGAAATTGGATAGTCTACAATGAGTAAAGACCCTATGTATATATACATAGAAGATTCTTTTGAATATGATGTGATGTAAATAGCAACTTGTTTTATCCTTTCATGAAAAATTGGATTTGATATATAACAACTTGGTTGTCACACCAAAGTTTCATAAGACTAGTGTTGTCAAATCCCATCTCCTCCAAGATTTTCTTAACCCATTGTAGCTCACAAATGGAGTCATAACCTTGTACTTTGCTTCTACACTTGATCTGGCCACCACATTCTACTTGCCCTTCCAGGTAATCAAATTACCTCATAAGAACACACAATATCTTGTAGTAGACTTGCAATTTATAGGAGATCCTGCCAAGTCAGCATAAAAAAATGCCTCCACCTGGCACCTACAAATGCCCATTATTCTTGTACACAATACCCTTTCTCGGGGCCTTCTTCAAGTACTTAACAATGTGCATAAGTGCTTCCCAGTTAGTGTTAATTGGAATAAATTGACTAATAACACTGACTAAAAAAACAATATATGGCCCAGTGACAATTAAATAATTCGGCTTCTCAACCAATATTCTATATTTCTATGGATCAAACAATGAGACTCCATTGTCAACTTCACTCCTTGCTCCATAAGTGTCTCACACGGTTTAGCCCCCTTCATGTCAATTTTATTCAAACAGGTCCAAGACATACATTTTTGTGAGAGAAAGATCTCTTTCTTTGAATAAATAATTTCAATGTCATCAACATAAATAACTAAAATGTAACCAATGTTAGTCTATTTATAAAATATTGTATGATCACTCTCACTAATCCAAATTCAAGAATCACATAAAACCTTAATGGGTTAGGTCCATTATGACCATTCATAACAATAAAACATAATCCTAATATGACTACTATGATATTCATCACACACTTCCTTTGAAAAATCATAATACCACTTTTGAATAGTATCACCTCAATTCCCAAGAAGTATTGAAATTTGTCAAGAGCTTTTATTTGAACGTGGTGAAAGAGGTGTTGCTTTACTTGTTCAATGCCACATTCCATGTAATGACAAAGTCATTGATGTACACAATTAAGTAGATAAAACTTGAAGTTGAATGATGATAGGAAATTGAGTGATCAACTTCACACTAAGTCATACTAAACTGATGGATCACTGTGCTAAATCAACCAAACTATTTCCTTAGGAGGAATTGTTTGAGACTATATAGGGATTTAGAGGAGATCAAGGTCAATTTTAAAGACTTCATTTTGAAGATTAAAAAAGACAAGGAATATATCCTCAAAGGAGACCCCAGACTATCTAAATTAGCAGCTTCCTTGAAACAACTAGTGAAAGAATGGAAGGAAGAGGAAGAAGGGTATGTCATCATCACCTTTTCCCTTGTGGTCAAAATCACCTTAGTCCGCATTTTTCTTGCTATGGATGTTGTTCATCGTTGGCCCCTTCATCAACTTGATGTTAAAAATGCCTTTTTATACAGTGATTTATAAGAAGAGGTTTATATGAAATAGCCACTAGGATTTATTGTGGTCAGTCTCATCTTGTTTGTCATATCTAACGTTCCCTCTATGCTTTGAAGCAATCCCTTGTGCCCGATTTAGGCATTTTAGCTCTACCATAACACAGTTTGACATGACTAGATGTGAAGTTGATCATTTTGTCTTTTCTCTTCATTATATGTCTGGCCAAAGCATTAATTTGGTTGTTTATGTTGATACTATCGTCATTTCCAATGATGATTCCAATGACATTCAGCAATTCAAAGACCCGTATTCAGCCAATTTCAAACCAAGGATCTAAGCCCCATCTCAAATACTTCTTACAGGCATACATTTTCCAAATCCTAGGGCTTACATCATTTAAGCCCACATTCTAATCTAGTATTCTATCAGAATTAGACAAATTGCTTACAAACTACAGTTGCCAAAACATAATACAATTCATCCAGCTTTCCATGTTAGTCTCCTCAAAAAGGCCATTACAACAGGTCTCCATCCTCATCCACTTCCAGCAACACTTTTGGAGGATTGAGAGTTGCAACTACAACCTTATGAGTTATTTAAGTTGTGGTGTAATGATGCAGAAGTGGAAGTACTAGTTAAATGAACAAATATACAAGATTTTGAGAATTCATAGGAGCTATTGTCTACACTAGAAAGAGTTTTTTTTCCAAAATTTCACCTTGTGGGCTAGATCAAAGCTTTAGAAGGGAGGGGAGAGGGAGGGAGTATTGATTGCAATAATGAAAATAGACCCATAATAAAAAAGGTCTATGCTTGGCAGATTAAGCAAAATGGACCCTAATGGTTGTGTTAGAACGAGGGCAGCTTATAAAATGTATTGGACTAATACGCAGAGGGGAGAGAGTGAACTATTTAGAAATTAGGAGAGAACTAGTGCCCCTTGGATTGTATTGAACTAGATCATTGTTGTATTTCTACAAGAAAAGAAAGATTCTTGACAAAACTTAAATCTTTCTTGAATAATAATCATCTATTACCTCAACTCTTGGTACTAGCCTGTAGCCCCAGCTAGAACATCCAATTCTTCACACGTGAACATTACAATATTAACAAATTACTACGCATCTCAGACCTTAACTATTGTTATTTTGTTTCACACAAGGTATTTCTTTCAAAATGAATATGTAATAAAAACTTAATTATGTTTTTTTCCTGATAAAAGTCGTACACTTTTGGAAGAAGTCCTTAAAAAAAAAATTGTTGAAATTTAATCCTTAATATTTTTCAAATATTTGAGTCCTCATCATCAATTGTTCTATCTTAAGTAATGAAATAAAAGAAGTCTAGATGGCATTCTAGCTTAGAGTCAGAGAGTCCGAAATTAACAGTTTGCGACGAATGAGCGCAGCTGTTGTGTTACTGAGGGAGAAGAGGAAGAGTCTTAACCGTGCGGGTCTAGGTGAAGTGCAGCATAGGTGATCGTACTCGAGCAGATGTGGTGGAGGTCTTCGTCGTTGGTGACCGAGATCAAGGCGCTAGAGGTCTTCGCTGGCGACGTAGGTGAGGTGGTTGTGGTGTGGCCTGGGTTGGATTTTGCCACCATAGCTGCACATTAACTTGGCTTTGTAGGTGGAAGGAGTTGTTTGTCAAGGGAAAGGTTATCGTCATCGATGTCACCAGAGCGTGGAGAGGAATCGTGGGAATTCATGGTTGGGAATTGGGGATGAAGGGTTTGTGTTGTGAGAGTGGAGTGGGTAATGCTTACTGGTTGGTGTGTTGAGAGAGAGAGAGAAACAAAACGGCTTTGGTCTTGGAGAAGACGAACCAGTGAAAAAATGGAGCTCTGGCCTTGAGTTAGAGGGATGAAGTCCAATGCAAGAGTGATGGAAGTTGAAAGAGAGAGAATCAGGGAATTTTATTTTAAATATTGATTTTTAAATAATAAAATATAAAAAATAATGATAATTTGTCACTTAATTAACGGTAAGACTAATTTTAAATATTTTAAAAATACTAAAAATTAAATTCTAACAATTTTAAAAAAAGCTTGTTCTAAAAAGTAATGCTTTTGTAGAAACTAAATATAAGACTTCAATAAATTAATAACACAAGCTCTAATTTTTACTTGTGAATCTAGAGGAATGCTTTAGTGTCTAAAGGAAAAACTGAACCTTAAATATAAGATCATGTCATCTGTGATAGACCTTTTAATTCCCGTATTGTACCCATTCATGAAATAGAGATTGGAGTATAATCAAAAGCTTCAAATGACCTAAGTTGACCTATGTCATCAATTTCTGTCAGTCTACACAACCACTTACTAGGTTGATAAGAATGGGAATACAAAATAGTCAACAGAGCTAGAACAAACTAAAAACACCATTCGACAAATCTAAAATCAAAATTGTAAACAGCTGTACGATGATGACTTATAAAGAGTTTCAGAGAGCAAAATAATGAACAGCATGGCACCAGAAGTTCCTTCGTGGATAAGTACCCTTAAAGCCATACCTTATCATGGAAATCTGGAAGGTTATGTTGGGGATGTGCTTCAAAATATTTTTTTAAAAGAACCTTGTCAAGCTACATTCAACAAAAATACAGATCAGCAACTGTTAAACAGCATAATCAAACATCCAAAGTAACCAAAGCCATTAAAGGCACATATGTAATGCAAGTACATTATGTGTTACAGGACCGAGGCAAAGTTGCCAACCTTAGATTCATCAACAGTAATGGGAAGATTTAGAAGATACTGTCCAGAAAGTGCAATATCAATCTCATTTTGTGTTGCAATCTTGAAGTTGCTCTTTTTCATGACCTGCATAGAGAATCAAAGAATCTTCAGATACCATTAGAAACAGAATAACATATATTTTAAAATATTACAGTGCTACGTTTTTCAATCAGACCCTGAATATTTTGTTATTTTAAATCTTATTCACCATTTACCTCTATGCCATTTCACTGCCTCAGCCTTACCATTTTCATACCTTGACAATATTTGCTCCACAAACTAAAGCTTTTAACCACATTCCTTATGTTACACAAAAGAGTAGCCAAATAACCTTTTTATTCTAATAACAACACAGTGAAACTCAATCCAGCCATTGTCATGTAGTCACAACCCCTACACTTCCTCACCCTTCACAATTTAGACAAGGCTCAATTATTGCTAGATTAGCATTTTATTGTAAGGCAGTTCCACTCATTGAGGAGGAGAAAGGAAAGATGTTTAAAATTATTGAATTGAAAGAAAAGTTTGATAGCCTCTGATTAACCGGCATAGCATGATAATCAGAACTTAAAGGGTATAAATCTATTGACAACACAATTTGCATATAGTAGTGATTATGAAGACTAATTATATGATTTAATTTGTCTATTAACATATATTACTTTTATATAATACAATTTTCATTGTTATGGATTTTCAGGTCCATATAATATACAAATCAAATGTCTCCAAGATCATTTTAGACGTTAGAAATTAATGAACTATCTAAAAGAGTACTGCTATATCATCCTATTTATATCTTCCTATAATGTCATCCTATTACTACCTCAAAAAGGTACTTCAAGAAATTCTGTTCAAGTTCTTCAATTTCTCTAAGAGGCAAGTTCTGCTGTTCCAACTTCTGGGCCCCAGATGTAGGATCAAAGAGGGAATAGAGTTGCTGTAGGCACAAAAATAAATAATAAAAAAAATCAGGCTCTTATCTAACTATATCACTATTTGTATCTGAAATGGTCAAGAAAAGAATACCATCATGTCCTCAAACTGAAGAATGTACCAAGCTCGAATTGTATACTCTATTCTTTTGCATAGCTTCAAAAACTCAAGTCTATCAGAACTATGTTCTGCATACAGTACCCAAACGACTCTGTCAGAACTATATTTCTACATTGTTTCATCCAAATCAAAACTTCAACATATTATCACCATGACTACACTAAATAATTAAATTATATACAGGGCATGGATTTTAATTGCAGTTAACAACTGTTCAGTTTCAAAACCGCAATTAAGGCTTCAATATGGTGATTTTTGGAAGTCTTTGCCACCTATTAATTATATACGATATACCCAATAAAAGAGAGAAAAAAATGAATTTGGTAATAATAATTATGCAAAATATGTGATAAATTAAGAAAAAAAATGCTAGAATACATTATTACATTCTAACACACACTTTGTTCTTAATTAAAATTTATTAGAAATGATTAAATAAAAAATAAAATTCATTAAATAATAAATAATAGTATATTAAAGAGTGTGTTATTAGTATTATTGGAAAAACTAACCAATGATATTCAAGTATTATTAACATTTAAGTCTCTGATTATTAAGACATTGAAAAATTAATTATCACATCTTTCAGTAAAAAAAAAATTTAATTTGAACACATATTCTAATTAAATTGAACAATTCACAATTAATTTTGTTAAATTTAATTCTATTTAACTTAAAAACAAATAAAAATAAAATAAACGAATTGAGCCAACCCATTTGCCATCTAAAATAGCAATTTTAATGATTACGAAAGTGCAACAAAGTTATATGGCACGTGCACATTGAAGAAACAAAAGGGTTAAGACAAAAACATACTAATGAGGTTGGCCAATGTCATGATGAGGTGAGGCTTCAAAACTTTGATGACCGATTCACGTTCTATCCGAATCACTTCATCCTTCTTGTTATCGTGACCCGTTTCTACCGAACCCAGTTGTGCCATTTTTTTAAGATTGAAAATTTGCAATATGAATCAAAGGAACCGTTTATATTAAATGTGTCGGTGAAACTTAGCTGAAACAAAGTGTTTCTTGCCAACACATCATGGAATAAGATTCGTGCTTAACAAACTAGGCGTAAGGATGCTTCACGGTGCTGCAACAACCACACAATAAACCAAAAAATAAAATAAAATAAGAAAAATGAAAGGTACATAAATTAAAAATTAGAAAACAAAAATGCAAGTTCTTGTTTAACCGATGAAACTGTCACTAGCGTGTTGGTCGGCCTCGTCACCAAGGTTGTCAAGAAAACGCAGATGTTCGGTTTCTTCGGAGGGGGAATTCACGTATCCATGGCCAAGCGATTGTTCATCGTTCAGAAAGTGAGTGATAGAGGTAAATTATAGCGAAATTGATTCATTCAAACTTTTCTTTTTACATTCTCAAAATAGATTCGTTGATGTTTTATAGTATATTTATCGTTCTTTTTCTTTTTTCCAAATTAAGAATCATAAATTAAAAAAATCACGAAAGCATAATTTTTTGTGACTTTTAATAGAAATTTTATAATTTTTCTTCGTATGCTTGTAACTTCCAATTTAATTTATTTCGTAACTTTTTGTTAATGACTATGTAACCTTTTAACATAAATCTTGTAATTTTTTATTTGTAATGTGACCCCATGCATTTGGCATTATAATTAAAAAAAAAAAAAGTGGAAGTCAATCCTACTTAATCAATCTTTATTTTAAAATCTTATTTTTATAACTATATTTTAGTAAGAATTTTTTAAAATTATTTAAATAATAATAATAGACATGTAAGAATAATAATGACACTCCTAAAAAAATACTTAGAGAACTTGTGCTTATTAAAAATATTTAAAAATTGGGTTAAAAATTAAAGATTTATATTCATTTGTTAGAAAATTAACTAAAAAATTACATATTCCGGTAAAAGAAAAAAATTAAAGGCGCAAAGGACAAGAGAAACTTTTTATTTTTCATTTTACGAAGTTACCATTACCCATCCTTTCTAATGTCATTCACTCAAACGCTATCCGTTTTATTAGAGCTTGACAAGAAGGGGACTCACGTCAATATTGAGCAAGACAAAAAAACCTTGACAAAAAATTAGGTTACCCTATTTATCCCCTACTTTGTTTTTCATAATATAAACTATTTTAAAATCCTAAATTTTACGAGGTGCTTACCACAATATTCTTAAACTTGAGAAGTGAATATTTTCTCTAAATTATATTAAAATATTAAAAAATAAAAAATATTTAGGTCATGTGTCCTTTCTTTCATTCAAATTACTCTATTTATTCACTATTTTGTTTCTCATAATTCTCACACACCAACATATATTATTTACACATTTCAAAATCATTTTAAAATTCTAAATTTTACAAATTCTCTCAAACGACTACTTAGGACATGTGCCCTTTCTTCTTCTTCTTCTTCTTTTTAATGATATTTTACACAAAAAAGCCAACACAAATGACATTCAGGATTAGAATTCATTATTAACCTTTAGATAAGTTTAATACAAACTATACTCAAACACAATTTTATTATGATTGTCAATTTATTTTAATTTATAGTTTGAATTTATGGTTAACAATGACTAATTTACTAATAAAATTAATCTGACAATTACATGTACAGTGAACATTTCCTTTAGTTGCCTAAAGTCTCAAATATGGAGACTAAAAACTACTAAGTACTAATTTATCAGCAATGTTAAAATTCTAAGCATGGTTTTTAATCATCTATATAATCTTTTACTTAACAAAGATAAAATTTACTTCAATAATTTCTACTCTGAAAAGGTTAATCATTAGGTGTTGGCTATAAAACAACTCTAGTGCACACCAATAACAGAAAAGACTACTAATTTATTAAATTTTTATTAGTTTTATTTTTTAAAAATGTTAAGAGCTAAATATAAGCAATTAATAACAATAAATTTTTATTAAAAAAATTGTTTATTATACTTTTATGATTTTAATGTAAAAAATATATTTTTTCTATTAAAGATTATATTTATGGATGCATAAACTAAGTTATAACAGTTGAGATTATCAAAACCCTTTAAGTAATTTTGCAATCAATCGTCTAAATTTATAGAACGTCTGCATTTATCACCAAGAACTACCGCAGGTCATTTTGGTGTCTTTTTTTCTTCATCATTTAATTAAAATAAAGCATTAAAAATAAAATTAATAAAAAGTAGAAAATGACGTCTACACAACTAATATAACTATACGACAACCAAAACTAAAAAAATAAAATAATAACACAATAAATCAAATGATACAACAAAAGATAAATTTTTACTCCAAAAACAATTAAAGATCTATTTATCTTAAGTTTGAGTAAATTGAGCTTTGATAAAATCAATTTTTAACCGAAGAAACAAAACTGAGATGTGTCAAATTTAATCTTAACTATAATTATTTTAGTGAAATGCTTATTTTCTTAATTAAAAAAATAAAAAATATTTTTTCAACCAACCATTAAATCAGTGTTACAACTCTTCCTAACGAGTAGCACTGAGCTCCACTTCTCCGAAGATTCATTGACTACTCAATAACATAAGAAAAAAATGTTTGGTGTATGAAATTTTCCACCTTTAAAATGTTATACAATATTTCAATATCTTTTATTTAAATATTATTTTTCAAGGATATTCATTCTTCTTAAAAAATATCTCTTTATTTTCTATAATAATTAATAAATTTTATTTACATTATTAACTAAATTTATGCTTATTTAAAAAATTAAATTAATGTTTAAATTAAAAATAATAATAATATAAGAAATTAGTAATATGATAAATGTGTGTGTAAAAAGATAAATTTATATATTTAAAAAACTTTAATACTTATATCTCTTAAAATGTGGTTAAAACGTATGATAAAAAATAAATACTAATTTTTATTAAAATTATAACATTTAATATTATAATATATAAAAATTTATGATATTAAATAATTTCTTATAAAAAATAATATGCGTTTTCAAATATATATTAACAATTATAAAAGAAATTTATTATTTTTTAGTTGGCCCAGTTTCATATGCCTTTTTCCCCACACCCCACGTCGTCGATGTTGTCACTTTCGTCTTTTGTTGCCTAGTTTCTTCAACCTGCTTAACTTATACAGCAATTTTACTTCCTTGGATAAAATTTGGCAGTATTATCAGGGTTAGGGCCAATCATGGGTATTCCTACTTTAAATAACTTAAGGCTAAATTAATTTTTTTTTAATTAGTATTAGAACAGGGCTTAATAAATTATTTCAGGGCTGGTTAAGACTGACCCCAAGGCTTTGATCCTTTTTGACAGTTCTAGTTCCTCTCACGATAGCTTTTTCTTAAAAAAAAATGATTTAAAATACTTTTTTTGAAAATATTAGAATTTTGAGTATTTTTTTTTAAATATCCATACAAAATATAAAAATTTAACATTATATATTTAAGATCTTTAGGAAACATAAGAAAATTCTGTTGCCAAAAGCCTAAAGGCAACGTTGCCTCAATTTTGGCAAACCAAATAGTCACATTCATTCTGATCGGGCTTTGGTGTCCTATAGACTCGAGCAAGCCTAATATGCTCATCTCCAGATGATGTTAACAGTACAAGACTATGGCCCACGTGCGAGAATTTCCCTTGGTTGCTGTTTTCACAGTGATTCTGATTATTCCCACTGAAGTCCATATGATTTTTAGCATTATAAACATACGTCGAAGTTATGAAAAACGAACCCAAAATAAAGATAACTCAAAAAGAGGCACCAGCCTCCAGCATTTCTTACCTTCCAAAATTATTTAAAGAATGTCTCTCTAGAAGAAGCAAAGGAAAAGAAATAAAAAATAAGAATAAAATATGTAACTTGCCTAATAACCTTAAATTCTTGAAGCTTATCTTAACTCCTTGGTTTCTTTCCTGCGCCTCTAAATATCTAGATATGTACATGGTGTTGAGTTGGCCTCGGTATAGGTATGTACAGAAACCTATCTCATCTCAGGGGATACATACCCCAGCTTCTGTGATTGCTCTAGTCACAAAATACTATCACATGGACAAATATGCATTTCTTCTCACTGTCTTGCAGTCGAGCTCTGAACTATATCTCGCTAACTGAGTAAAATATTCATTAACGGTTCCATGACCTTAAGTATGGCTTTCCCAATTGATCATGTAATGCAGAATTCTGATGCGGCATGCTCATCCATGTCATATCATCAGGTACCAGACCACTAGGTGCTTCACGTCCGGTGAAGTAATCTAATGGATGAGAAGACTGCGGTACAACGGCGTTCACCCTTGGTGTACCTGCATCTACTACTCCATAAGTTCTGGGTGCAAGAAATTGGTCAGTATTTCTAACTGAATCATAGGTACTACCTGAACGTAATTGGCTACACTCTGACAGAATACTAAATAAACTCTGATCAGAGTTTGCTCCAGTGCCAAGACTTTGAGTTGAAAGACTACCGCCATCAGATCCATTCCAGCCACCACGAACTTGATGGTCAGGAGGGAACCAATGATGACCAATAAAATTTCCAGTATTTAAGTTTGGTTGGGAAGGTGCTGCAAGCCGAGCAGTATTAGCAACCCAATCAGTCATGTTTACTGCAGCAATTGGATCTTGCCTGGGGATTAATGGATCTTGCCTGGGGATTAAGTACCTTCCTCCATCAGAATAAATATTCTCTGACATGTTTTCTGGCAGGTATACTTCATTAGCTCTCCTTCGCCCCTGGTCCAACGTCAGAGATGTCTGCAAGGGCTCCTTAAAATGACTGGAAAATTGGCTATTTCCAATCATAACGTTGTTTGAAGTCTGGAAATCTAACTGGGCTCCTTTCTGTTCATGATGATAAGGTAGCAGCTCTTCTCCCTTGAAGATAGATGGAAGTAAAACACTTCGATCCTGACTTTGGTAAGAACTGAAGGTCCCATCATCTAACTGCCTCCGTAACAACTCTTTACCTGTTTCTTCTCGACGCAAATTAGATTCAAGATCAATCATATGGGTTGGCTGCTCTTCACTGACTTGAGGATTAGCCAGTGATAGCCCACTGGCTGTGAACTCATTGGTCACAGCAGCATCATAGTATGAATGTGGCATTTCAACTGCTTGCCAGACATCACCACCAGAAGTGAAAGGCGCTCCTTCATCAATAGAAATATCCTGAGTGTTAATATTCCTTGTATACTCATCATTTTTATTTGGGGAAGCATTATTTGATTTTGATAAAACAAGATTCTTTTCTGAATCCACACTGATTTGGTTGAACTCATCATCACCAGATTCACCACTAACATAAGAATTGTGCAGGGACTGGTTCTCTGGGGACCTAGAAATAGAATCCTTATCATCTTTCAAGTTAGACTGATCATTCAGACCTCCATCTTCCACCTGATCCTGAAGCTCGTCACCTGAGCTCACATTATCGCCATCCCGATCCTGAAGTTCACTTCCTGAGCTCACATTATCCTCATTCTGCTCCTTAAGCTCACCTCCTGAGCTTATGTTATCCTCTTCATCCTGATCCTGAAGCTCGCCCCCTGAGCTTATGTTATCCTCATCCTGATCCTGAAGCTCACCCCCTGAGCTTATGTTATCCTCATCCTGATCCTGAAGCTCACTTCCTGAGTTCACATTATCCTCTTCCTGAAGGAAAAATTATAATTGGACATATTTAACAGAGGCATTACGAAAAAAATTCTCATGATAATGGGCCCGAGGATCTTCTAGGATTCAATAAACTGATACAAGATATGCAACTCAATTCTAGGAAGTCATAAAAGACCATAATAAGGAAGCACAACTACAAACCTCAATGAATGGATTTAATTTATCCTTCATCTCTGCCAGCAAAGAATTTCTCACACCATCTCTCTGTATCTGTCTCTCTGTCCAATTTGCATATGCCACAGGGAGGTCTTTGTTCACCAATTGTAACCTATGCAAATAAAATATATTCTAGTGAGAAATAATGATGAAAATTTTAAAAATTTAATGTGTTCAATGATGTCATATTGACATAAATAGATAGCACTGCAAACATCTCACTAACCAATGCTCTTGCAACTTCTTCTGTTCTTCTTTGACAAATATTTCATATGGTTGCACATGAATTTTATCAAGATTACCCAAAACACGGTTAAGAGATCTAGATTGGATGCTTTTACCGGACTGCTTCATATTCTTAACAAGTTCATGCTGCTGCCTACTAATCTGAAATGCATGAAGGGAACAATCAGCAAATACTCTACAAAATATTAACGTATTCATAATGAAGATGAAATTTTTTTATTGGTTTCCTCACCTTGAAGGAAAAATCATCTTAAAATATATTACTATTACGTGTTTATTGTTAAATCCAAATAACTATATTAAATAGAATTAGTGAAATCACACTAAAAGCTCTAACCACAACAAAAATGAAAGTCAGAACATAACAGTAGTATGTCAGTTGAAGTCTAAATATTTACAAGTTTCAATAACAGTAATTAATTCCGCTAAATAGAGTAACTACTTTTGTCCCTCTAATTATTGACACTAAAGAGATAACTAACCCAGATACCATGTTTCTCTTATCAGTTTAGTATCGGTCAGTAATTAGAAAGGTGGAGAGCCTAACCTTGATACATGACATGTATTTGTCACCATCAGTAGAATGAATGTTACGCTTGGGTAGTTTGTCCCCTATCTTGGGCTTTTCTGCCACATTAAGCATATCGTTTGAAGAAACCATCAAATGTCTGGATTTACCTTTAACAATGTCTTTTTCAAGAACCCTGCCAAAAATTGTTTCATAAACAGTTGTATTAAGCATTAAGCAGGTAAAGGTAGATTAAACATGACAGTTACACATCCAGAAGAGGATAGAAACCAAAATACAACAACAACCCAGCTTTATCCCACCAAGTGAGATCGGCTACTAGATACAAACCAAAATATTGCCAAATAAAACATACAAAACCAGAGAAAGAAATTTGCCCCCAAATGACCCGGTTCCATATTGCAGCATGCCTGTTATGCACACACAGTTATGTGATAACCACAAAATAAGTGGAGGAATCAAAAGTAGCTCTCAAAAAAGAAAATATGACAATGACAAAACAATAGTAACAACAATTGTGAGCAATAACTGGTTATCGGTGATGATAGTTAACTCTAAAATGTTAGTTTTCTTGTGATCAGTGTGGATGGCACTAGTAATCAATTTTAAAATGTAAAAATTTATGCCTTGGAAAATTCACTTATTCAAGCAAAAATTCAGATATCTTAAATTTCTACATCACAGCTTTACCGGAATGATCTTTTACTCTGCTTAAGAGATGGCAAAAGCCAAAAGGAATCATTGTTGATGAACCAAAATCACTAGTCATAAAGCATTTAAATTCACCAAATTAGTAGTTCAATTTCAAACATATTACTGAGTAAGAGACCCTGTATGTACCAAAACATTAGTGATTAGAAAGTCATTAGTTACCTTCTTTGAAGTTTATCATCTTTTCTCAGTGAGGAAATTTGGTTGTCACTACTACATGCCTTCTCCTCTGCATCCCAAGAGCATGACTCAGATGACCCTGTAACATTCCCATCAGGATCATAAACTCTAGGTTCAATCACTTTTGAGGGCATTCTTTTCTCTACATTCTTTGATCTGCGAAATCCAACAACTTTATGACATTAACAATTACCACTAGAAATTCCAAAACAGGAGAAAAACCTCAAAATCCAAGTTTAATAATCAACTTGAAGTCCCCAAACAAAAGTTCATGCATAGCTTGTATTACTATAACAGAAATACTTTACATCAACAGAAACTACAACTATTTAGTAACAGTAACACCCATCGCAACCATAAACTACACCTTGGCAATTAAAATATCTAAAAAGGATACATCAAGAAGAGAGAAGTCAAGCAATTATGTTGCAAGATAGTATTTTAATTAACCAACTATCGTCCATTTGGTATCCAAAAATAAAATCCATCCAATTAGTTTCACCCAACAGTTATCAAAGAATTTCATTTGGTACCGTACCAATTAACAGTTTACCATCAAAATTGAAACAAAATAAAATAGTAATGCTTAAATAACTCGAACACTTTTTAACAAGGGACAAATTAAGCAGATAAATGCACATTATCAGACTCATCATTGACTGATGAAGACAGTAGTCGAGCAGAACATAAAGTGGAAGTTCCATTTGATCAGATACCTCAAAGAAAGATCTCCAGAATTCTACCATCTCAGATTTGAAACAACATGACATCTCAAACTACTCTCAAAATTAATCATATGAAGGATCATATACATTCTATATGCATTCGCCTAGCGTGTGCAACGGTGAGCTGTCTTACTATATCAGATAACTACCAATACAGGTGTTGAAACTTGAAAGCACAAAGCAATAATAAAAGGAACTAAGGAATATGTCCTGCCCTAATTTTGTAAGTGGTCAGGTGTGTAGCGTAGATCCCAATACACAGAAAGTAAGTGACAACCTCCATATCTTCTGCACTATCTCCTTTTCTGGATCTTTGCAACTTTGCCACCTTTCCTTCAACTTAGATAGAAATCCTATCATACTGAAAAATGGAAGAATTACAATACAGCATTAAATACCATGCCAAAAAGATACATATTGAGAATGTACGATGCTTACTCATTGTGATAATTATGTAACTGTGAGTAGTATGCTCTCTTCTCAGACTTAAGATGCTGTTCTCGGTCAACAATCACATCTGGATGAAGATCACCTAAACAAAGTGAAGCACCCCTGCAAAAGTATATATTTTAAGACATTTCTGATTCTGAAAAGGAGAAGATTTTCATCAATGATCAGCAAAGTAGACAAATACCATTCCATTTTTAAATGATATTTTGCTCACAAAACAGGATAAACAAAAGGATCTTGCTGAGATAGCAATATGATCTGACCATAACAAACAGTATTGATGAATGATGACAATCCAGATGAGCAATTGAGCATTAAATGGTAGTCAAATAAACATAAATAAAAAACTGTAAGCATGGAAACTACGAAGAATAAAACAGAAATTCAACCAATCAAAATCCCTTCAAGTTACAAACATGAGAAAAAAAAATTTATGCAGTAAAAGGAAGATGCTAAAAAATTGGTCAATATGCTTGTAAGATATGATAAAACCGAGATTGAATTTCCAAATATGCACCAAACAGAATTTATACCCAAGATATGCAATTGGTAGTAAAGCTGGGAAACTCAACCTGAAGGCTATATATAAAACTCATTATCACAACGTTACATCAATAACTAATCCATTAATTCATTGAAATTAAGAAAGCAAAATGCAAGTAACACACTCTTTTTAACACACTCCTAACTATATTGGTTAAAATTTATTAAAAACTGTAGTATGAGAGACAAATATTAAATTAGGAGTAAGAAGAGTGGAACCCACATGATTTTTGAAGTTTTCAATAAATTTTAACTAATAGTTAGGAATATGTTAAAAAGAGTGTGTTAGAGAGTGTGGTGATAACATTCCTCAATTAGAAATTGTCACATGCAGCATGTACTTGTGAACATGAACAGTAAACTGCTAAATACAACAGTGTGAGCAGACAAAGATCCAGAGAGAAAAATACAAAGAAAGTGATCTTGCCATTTCAAAAAGGGATTTCCAAAATGATAGTTAGCCCCATCAAGTAATTCTTCCACAACTTGATGTGGCTCAAAGCCACTAGGGAGAAAATCCATGAGAATGTTTCTCTCATTTTCTGAAAGATGGGTCTTCCAAACCTGCCAATTGCCAAAAGTTTTATAGAAGATGATTTAGACATAATTCAGAAACAAAGTAAAAGCTATTTTCAGCTGCAAACAATAGAAACACAGAAAAACATGATATTTACCTCATACGAAAGCACTTCACTTAAATTATCCAAGTCAAAGATTTCTTGAGGCACTGTAAACACATCTGCCAAGACCTTGTGATCATTAGAAACAAAATTAACAAATGGTTTCATTTGTCTCCAACCGATGCCAATCTGCTCCTGCTTAGCAACAACCCTTTTCTGATTACCATCCCACTCAACAGAGATGTGAGGTCTCATGTTTAAATCATTTTGAACTAATCCCAAATTCTTTCTTTTGGTCCTGTGTTGCTCTCTAGAACCATAACCAACAATGTTTGCACCATTTACCCGTTTTCTCTTCTGATCAGCAGCCATGGGAATGAGAATAATTCTTCAAAAAAACACTATACAAATATATATCAAAACACTGCCTCGTTCACTTTTAAAGAACATCTTTCATCCATAAGTAACCTGCCAAGCATCATCATAAACAATCAATTACATCATAGCTTTCCATGGACAAGTTTAATATCTAGATAGGTTAAACATACTTTTCTCTGTAAATAGTGCAACTTTAACTAATAAAGCTGCTTCAATTAAGGGTTCAGTTCAATCAAGTCAATCACTGCCCTTCACATAAAAAATTTAACCATTTTGTGTGTAACATCCTCATTAGTCATTCAGTTCTTACCACTATTCCATAAGAACAAGTAATGCCAAGTTCAGCAGGAAAGAAATATTTGATTCCATGCCTCAATTTTATAGAGGCAGAAATTTCCATTCCTTTCAAGTGAGGCAAATGACAATTTTGTTGGCTAGAACAAATTAATGTTTGTTTAATTTCCTCATTAATGATCATTTTTGGCTGGCTAGAATAATTTAGTGTTTGTTTTATTTCATAATCCCATGTTTATCTTCATATAGTCATAATTATGATTAAATTTTATATTTTCTGTACCAAACATAAAAGCAGGATGAAATGGAATAAAAATATCATTCCATTACTGAGCAAAACTAGAATAAAACAGGAATGGTCATTCCAGTCCCATTCTAATTATGCAAAAATAAATTCCATGCATTAAGCATGACCTTAGCAGTATCACATCAACAAAACACCCAAGCTACTTAAAAATTAAGATAACATACAGAAGGAGAAGAGGTTATTCTCTTAATTATGTTCCAGAGAAGAATACCAATCAAATCAACTGCATTACAACTTCATACACTTATTCATAGTTGTACAGAGGCTACATATCATAATTTGTGTATGTTTAGATAGGCTAAAGTTTGGACAAATAATCTCTTTTTGTTTTTGCAGCTTCTTTAAAGAGAAAAGTGCTTTCAAGCGCCTACTTTGACTGCTCACCACGATGAACTTCCCATGAACAAATATTTACTAGGACTTTTCATAGGATTTCTATTCCTCACAAAAGTAATGAATGAACACTGCCAATCAGGATCTGGAATATCTATAACACCAGTATCACCACAAGTATCATAACAATTCCAGTATATAAAGTAAAATCCTCCCCAAATCAAGAGAGCAAAGATGATATCTGACAATGGCAAACAACAACAAATTTGATGAAAACCTGCAACAAATCTTTCACTAGTTCAATCAAAGTGTCGACAAAAACAAGCTCTTTTTGGGTAAACCAAACATAAAGTACAAGTATTCCAACAGAAACAATAACTACAATAACGTTTTCAGTTACTTTCAACACCCCACAGGTCTAAACAACATAAACCCAAATTCTCAACAGGAAAAAAAAAAGATATTCATGCATAATCATGAAAAATATATAAATAAATAAATAGATTCCATATGTATTCAATGAAAAATAAAGCAAATAAATAAATAAACATTCCTTTTACAAAAGATTTGAATTTTCACCGGTTTCCACAAGACACACACTTAATAAGTAGAGAGCATAAGCACTATACACAAAATTAACCAAGTAACCTCAAGAAAATGAAACTCAAAATTCACGACAGCCCTCTACAAAATTTAAATCACCAATTAGAAGTAAACCCCATTGCTCATGCTCACAACATAAAAAAAATAAACAAATAAAACCGCGACAATTCACACAAAAAAAAATATACAGCAAAAATAACAAAAAGCAAAACAACGAATTTCATATCGAATTTCAAAATTCACGAATTACATATCGAATTTCAAAAGTCACGACTAAATCGCATTCAAGATACCTCCTTTCCAATTCGGAGCAGCGAAACCCTAAAAATCGAAAAAATAAAAAATCAGTAAAAAAATTTACCAGTAAATTTCTCCACGCCTGTCCCACAGAAAGAAGAAGAACTTGAAGCTGGGCCGATAATCGAAGTTAATTAAAATAAAAATTATAATAAGGATTGAGAGAGGAATAGGAATTTGGGATAACCTAAGGGCAAGGGCAAAGAGAGAAAGAGAGAGAAAGAGGAGGATAGAGAGAGAAAGAGAGTGAGTGAGAGAGTCATAGAAGGTTTCTTATTATTAAGAGAGCATCGAGAGAAAAGAGACACACACCACAATTGGCAGAGAGAGAAAGAGGATCAGACGACTGTGGTTTCCTCTCGAAACCGTTATTTTCCGCATCGAATCCTTAGACAGCTTCGCGCCCGCTTCGGCTCGGCTCCGCTCGGCTTAGCGACTCCAGCTCCGACACATTTTCGAGCGTGCCGCGCATGTGGTAAGGTAAGCGTTGGATGGAGATGCGGTTTTGTGTTTAGGATATGTCAACGACAGAATATAAAGAGTGAGGGCGTGTGTTTTTATTGCCCTTTTTATTTATTTATTTGTGTGAATTTAATACGGCAATTCTATTGGGTGTTGGCAACAATCATTGAAATTAAATAATTATTTTTATGTGACGTTGACTTTGTGGTCAATGGAACAGAATCTAGGATGGTTGGTGTAGATATTGAACTAATTTTCTAAGCTGACAAATCAATTTTATTTTGGGTTTCTGTGTTGTGCCACGGATTATAGTTTTCCTTATGTTTTAATTTGAATGTTAATATTCAGTTATTACGTATTGATACGTTGTTAACTAAAATTAGTTTATTAAAATCCTGAAATATCTTTAATGGTCTGTAGATTTAATCGTTGAAATTTAAATATCTCATTAATTAATAAAAGAGCTTGTTCAAATAAAATATTTTGTAATTTACATACTAGTAGTAAGCAAGGATATTTTCTTTTCTTTTCTTCTTTTAATTTAACAAATAACAATGAAAACAATACTGCATTATTAAATATAATCAATTTAAGATATGTATAATTTGATTAACGAATATCAATCGTTAAAAATATTGAAAATAAAATTATTATTTTGATTACTATTTTTTTAATAAACATAATTATTAGTTAACATTTAAATTTATTTGTTTCTTCATGCACTGCAACAAGGGATGTGAATCTAGTATGCAAATTTTTTAATAAAAATGTGTAATATAGTTAAATGAATATTAATTTTTTAAATATTTAAAAAAATATTATTTCATTACCAATTTTCTAATAAAAATAAATATTTAACTTTTAATTTTATTTTATAATTTTTTCATGTCATACATGTATGGGATCATGATTTAGTTTATTAATAAATAATAATAAAAATATGTTAAAAACAGTCACAATAAAAAAAGAGTTAAATTATATATTTTATGAAAATTAATTATTAGTATGCTCGTACGTTGTATATATTTGTTTTATTCTTTTATTAAATTAATTTTATAATATTAAATAATAATTTTGTAACATAAAATATGTTTTTAGTATTTATAAATATAGTTAATATTTATTTTATACCTTCAATAGTTTTAGTTTTAAAAAATTTTAAATATATTAAAATTAATTTTTTTTATTGATTATTAATGTTGTGGTATGTATATATGCATGTTATATTATTACAAATTAATTATAAGGATCAATTTTTAAATTTTATAAAATCAAAATTATTATTTTATAAATTAAAATAATATTTGAGTCTAATTCCTTTATTTTTAAAATTAATGCAATATATGAAATATTTTTATTAGTAATAATATTAATATATATTAATTAATTTTAATTTTTAAAATAATTTTAACATTATTATAAATATTTTATACAGTTATTTTTTATTTTATAATTATTAATTATAATATTATAGTATGACATAATAATTTATCCGTGTATTGCATGAGTCACTTTTCTCTTTTGTTGACGCGTATTATAAAAAAATTACTACTTAAAAGTTAAAATTTTTAAGTGTTTTCTGCATTATTATATATTTGAAGAACAAACTCAATTAAATAGAATAAGAATGACATTGTCATCCAAATAGAGAAATGGAAAGGCAACAATAGTACAATATTATATTATATATGAGCAGTAGTGCAATATTATTAGTAAAGAAAAAAAATTGAAAAAGACAGGAACATAGAAAAAAAAAGAGATAAAAAACTCACCTGAAAATTTTTAAAACATTTAAAAAGTTATTTTAAACAATCTTCCAAAATCTGATAGGTTTGGATGAGATTGTTTTATGAATTTGATATTTATGGATACTACTAAAAAGTTCTTCAAAATTCGTCTAATACAATGATCTTTTAAAATCCTTATATTTTTTTAATACAAATGAATTTTAATGGACTATTTCAAAAATCTTAAAAATTCAGATTGAATACCACTGAATTATTTTTAAGTGATATAAAATTCTGATTAAATACCTATATACTTTTTTACTTTAAAAAAGTTTTAAAATCCTATGAAATCTTAAAGTAATACATCTCCTATCAGCTCCAATGTTGTTTCATATGATAATTTTTACATAATTATTCACTCTCTCGTATGCATAATAAACTCTACATGTAGATAATCAAATTATATTTAATAAATAAGCAAATATCATCTCAATTAAAAATATTAACACCAATGCATGAATAAATTTTTTTAATATCTTCTCAAATTGAGATAATGAAGTAAATTAATTTAAAATAAAAAATTATTTAAATAATTATATATCAATTTAATAATAATAGAACTTATAATATGTGGCATATTTAAATAATACTAATAAACAAATAAGTGTATTTTTAACTTTTTTGTTGGATACATACTATTAATTATAAAATATGTTATTTTAAATTCTATATGTTAATAATCAAAATAAAATTGAAAAAGTAAATAAATAAATATCAACAGGCCTAGGATATTATTATTATTACATGAAAAAATTCATGAATTCTTTAAATTAATTCAACAAAACTAACATTAGAAAAAGATGTACAGAAAAGCTTGTAGAGCTTTACAGTATAATGATATAATTTTTTTTTAAATATTAGAGATCAATGTAAAAGAATAATTAGTTAAAAAAATTTAATAATGACATTAACAAATTTCATTTACTACCTAAAAAGTATATTATTTTTTTTATTATTATGAGAAATAAATAAATTTATAAAACTATGATATATATATATATATATGTATATATTATTTGATAATAATATAATATATTTTAAATTTGTTTACCTTTATTTAATTATTGAATAAAAGATAAAAATAAATAAATAAATTTAAAATGCTATATTAAAAAGAGCATGTAAATTAAGTTAAACATAAGTAAAGAAAATATATATTATTTTATTTTATCCATTATTTTAAAAAAATAAATATAAGTTTAATATAAATACATTAAAAATTAGAGAGTCATAATTGCAAATAAAATTATATTATTTTCTTATTATTAGAGAAAAATAAATTAGTTTACAAAATTATCATACTAATTAATATAATGCATATTCTTAATTAAATTTAATTATTGATCGATACAGAAACATAAAAAATAATAATTTCTACAAATAGATTAAAAGAATCGTGAAAATAAAATCAAACAGTATAAACTTTAATACTTTTAAAATTTTAAAATAAAATGTATATTGTTTGATGATCTAATAAAATTAATAATCATTATAAATTTTAAAAATAAATACTTAAAATAATAATAATTATTAAATATAATAAAACTTTTTAATGAGACATCTCTTTTAAGTATAATAGTTTAATCTCAATTTCTATACTTTAATTTTGCTTTATTAACGTTATGTAAAATATAGATACCGAAAAAACAAAATCTAAAGATAAAGAAAAGTATGCACTACACACTTAATGTGTGTATATATATAGTTAGTTATGTCTAAAAACATGTAATATTTTTCAAACCTCTTAAATTTTTTAGATTATTTAAATATATTTCAAATAAAAGGAAAATAAAGGTCTAGAGAAAAAGTCTAACATACATAATTTTACATATAATCTTTGTAACACTCTTATTTTTATTATTTATTAATTTTGTATTGTATGATAATTGTTAATGCATGTTGTTTAGAATTAAAAGAGTTTCAGGTGTGTGAGTTGTAAGATTTCTCGCTATCGTGGGATATGTTTCGCTGTAGTGAGAGATAGCTCGCTGTAGTGAAAATGTTGCTAGTTAAGGGGTATTTAAGGATTTTCAAGTTAAGATATTTGGATTATAATCCAAGTTAAGAATTCTTTTGACTTCTCTCCTCCTTTTCTCTCAGAAAATCCTTAATAAACCTCAATCTTTCTCTGATCCAAGCTTGGAAGTTCACTCATTTTGTTATTTGATAAGTTTTTGAAGCTTGGTTTTCTATTTCCTTAGTTGTTTCTTGTTTTTCACCTCTAAAAAGAATATCCTGTGATATTTAGGAAGAACTCAATTTTTAAGCAAGATCCTTCACGAACCCCTTTTCTAAACTTGCATTTCAAAGTAAGGAGAGTTCTATCTCATTGCTAAAAACATGGTATATTTGTACACATGAAAATGTTGTGGTATAATGCATGATTGTGGATATATGTTGGATTGAAACATGTTTTCTGTGTTTGATGATTTGAATGATCTCTATTTTGAGCATATATATGTATATATATTGTGGACTGAGTCTGGGGTGACCAACCTCCGGCAATGTTTGATTGGTATATGATATAGTTAATGTATTGGAATAAAATAGAAAGAGAAAAGGATGAACGAAATATTAACATGGGGAGATTAAGTTAGAGTTTGATGAGAAATACGAAAAGAAAAGTGGAATGAGAAAGGAAATGATAAGGACAAGTGTGAATAGCTGAATTATAATTGCATTATTATGATAAATATGCATGTGAGGGGATGTTAGAAGAATTTTGAAGTGTTAGGACTGTAAGTTTCTTGTTGTAGCGAAAATAAGGCGGTGAAATTAGAACATTTTGAAACTTTCTCGATAGTGAGAGAAGTGGATAAGATTGCCTAACTTGCAACGAGAAGTCCCGCTATAGCAAAAAAGGTCTCGTTGTAGCAAAGATCCATTACTGTAGCGAAAAGTGCAAAAATAATTTTATTTGATATTTTTACTATAGCAAGAAAGCACCTCGCTGTAGCGACAGTCTCTCGTTGTAGCAAGAAATGACTCGCTGTAATGAGCAGTGTTACGAGTAATATCTTGCTGTAGCGAGAAAGGCTCGCTATAGTGAGAATGTCGCCATTATGAGGGTATTCAAGAGTTTTCAT